TATTTTGTTTGTAACTTGGGGGATGCCTGTAAAAGCAAACCGGAGCACAAAGCAAGGCCAGGTGGGAGGTAGTAATGGCAATGCAGATGGATGAATTTTGCAATTCACAGCATTACAGTGCAAAGGATGCAATACAAGGATGCAATACATAACATCAACAACCAGATATTACTGCAAGTGCAACAGGAGTGGTTCACAAGTAATATAACTAGGCATAACAGGAGCAAGGATTGGAGGTGGCAGTGCTCCTTGCACCCACAATGCCTTTTTATTAGCCCTCTTTTGAGGTCTCTGCCTGGAAGTACCCAAGGTCACTCATACCTTTTCCCACTGATACTCCACCGGCTGGGACCCGGCTGCGCTGCAGGTCAGGAGCACGCTGTCCCCTTCCGAGAGGTGCTTGAGCTTGGAGGGGTCCCATTCCCACTGGTGCTTGCGCTGCTTCAAGGTGGCGGCCGCGATGGTGGGCACGTCCAGGTCTAAAGGAGAGAAATGGAGGCAATGGAGACAAGATCCCATAACATCACCACCATCTTTGCAAAGAACAGGTTGCCCACAGGTCACTCCTTGCATGGTCAAACCTGAGGCACTGGAGACAAGATCCCATCACATCACCACCATCTTTGTAAAGAACAGGTTGCCCACAGGTCACTACAACTCCTTGAGTGGTCAAACCATGCTATTGTTCACAGACATGTGTGTGGACATCTCAGAAGCTTCTGGGGTTGCTTTTTATAGTAACTTATAGAATCATAGAGTTGGGAGAGACCTCATGGGCCATCCAGTCCAGCCCCATTCTGCCAAGAAGCAGGAAAGTCACATTCAAAGCACCCCCAACAGATGGCCATCCAGCCTCTATTTAGAACTCCAAAAGGAGCCTCCACCACACTCCGGGGCAGAGAGTTGAACAGCTCTCAGTCAGGAAGTTCTTCCTCATGTTCAGGATGGAATCTCTTTTCTTGTAGTTTGAAGCCATTGTTCCACGTCCTAGTCTCCAGAGAAGCAGAAACCAAGCTTGCTCCCTCCTCCCTGTGACTTCCTCTCACATTTATACATGGCTATCATGTCTCCTCTCAGCCTTCTCTTCTTCAGGCTAAACATGCCCAGCTCTTTAAGCCGCTCCTCATAGGGCTTGTTCTCCAGACCCCTGATCATTTTAGTCGCCCTCCTCTGGACACATTCCAGCTTTGTCAACATCGAATTCTTGACAGCAGAAGGTGTCACCTCAACATCTTTAAACTTACTCGCCCAACGACGCACAGTACTCACATCAACACAATCACCATAAACAGCTTGCATTCTCTGATGAATCTCCTTTGGGGTGACACCTTCTGCTGTCAAGAATTCAATGACTGCACATTGCTTAAGTCGTATTGACCGACCGTCTGCGCAGGGTTCCATACTTCGCACTTTAACAACACAACCGTTCAATGCTAAGGCTTCCTGCCAAAAATGGAACTGTAGAGGAGAGTCTACTGAACAAGCCAGTACCTGCATAGCAGTACTGCCATCTGTTGAGGAGTTACGCAGGTGGAGGCATTACTTTTCATTCAACCCTCGTATAAAGCAAAGGAGCCAAATAAGTCCACAAACTCATGGATTTAGCCTAGGATTCCTCTGGAAAAGGAGGGGACCTTATATACAATCCAGCTGACATGTAAGCATGCTGGGAACTGTAGTCACCACAACAGCACCCAGGACTACAGTTCCCAGCACCAGTTACACTCCCAAATGTAACTCACAGTTCACAAACAGGTTCACAGTTGCGTTCAGCTCTTGAAAGGTCTGCAAGTCGAAGGTTTTGCACATGTAGGTGCCGCTTTCGTTCCGGCTGATGTCGAGGAAGGACAACTTCCCACCCAGAACGTGAGGGAGGTCTTCTTCGTTCCCCTCCTGCAGTGCGGAACGCCGCAAAAGGGGAAGAAAGGCTTAGTAACACCGTCCGGAGCATGAACACCACAACGTATGCGCTTCCAGTGCCCCACATCTTCACCTTGAATCTGGAGAAGGTGTACTCTGGTGCCGGGTTGCCATCTGCTTCGCAACGCAACGTCACGTTGTCGCCCTCCTTCACCACTGGGCTCCGGGCCTCCATCACGAGACTGATGTTCTCAGAGGGGTCTGTGGAACAAACAGAACCTGCTTGACCTTGGATCTGGGAGTTGTAGTTCACCCTTATCCATAGAGCATTGAACTCAGCCAACGTCAAATCTGGGCCAAACTTGGCACACAGACCTGACTTGACCAACTGTGCATACAAGAAGATTGGAGGTGATTGACCTTCGCATATGGGAGTTGCAGTTCACCCTTATCCAGAGAGCACTGAACCCAGCCAACGTCAGATCATGGACCAAACTTGGCACATAGACTCAACATGGCCAACTCTGCATACGGGTAGGGTTTGGGGGTGATTGCCCTTCGCATATGGGAGTTGCAGTTCACCCTTATCCTGAGAGCCCTGAACTCAGCCGACATCAGATCTGGACCAAACTTGGCAGACAGACTTAACATGGCCAACTGTGCATACAAGTAGGGTTTGGGGGTGATTGCCATTCGCATATGGGAGCTGTAGTTCACCCTTATCCAGAGAGCACTGAACCCAACCGATGTCAGGTCATGGACCAAGTTTAGCACACAGAACCAACTTGGCCAACTATGGATACAGGCAGGGTTGGAGGTGGTTGACCTTGGATCTGGGAATTATAGTTCACCCTTATCCAGTGAGCACTGAACCTTGCCGACGTCAAATCTAGACCAAACTTGGCACACATACCCAACTTGGCCAACTGTGCTTACCAGCAGACTTTGGGGGTGATTGACCTGGGGAGTTGTAGTTCAACCTTATTCAGAGAGCATTGAACCCAGCCGACGTCGGATCTGGACCAAACTTGGCCAGCTGTGCTACTAGGTGGGGTTTGGGGGAGATTCCCCTTCGCATATGGGAGTTGTAGTTCACCCTTATCCAGAAAGCATTGAGCCCAGCCGACATTGGATCCGGACCAACCTTGGCACACAGACCCAACTTGCCCAACTGTGCATACAGGAAGGGTTTGGGGGTGATTGCTCTTTGCATATGGGAGTTGTAGTTCACCCTTATCCAGAGAGCATTGAACCCAACCAACGTCGGATCTGGACCAAACTTGGCACACAGACCCAACTTGGCCAACTGTGCATACAGGAAGGGTTTGGGGGTGATTGCTCTTTGCATATGGGAGTTGTAGTTCACCCTTATCCAGAGAGCATTGAACCCAGCCGATGTCGGATCCGGACCAAGTTTGGTACAGACCCAATATGACCAATTGTGCATACAAGTAGGGACTGGGGGTGATTGCCCTTCGCATATGGGACTTGTAGTTCACGCTTATCTAGAGTACACGGAACCCAGCCCATAACAGATCATGGACCAAGCTTGGTACGCAGACCCAACTTGGCCAACTGTGCTTACTGGCAGGATTTGGGGGTGATTGACCTTGGATCTGGGTGTTGTAGTTCACCCTTATTCAGAGAGCATTGAACCCAGCTGACATTGGATCCAGACCAAACTTGGCATACAGACCCAACATGGCCAACTCTGCATACGGGTAGGGTTTGGGGGTGATTGTCCTTCGCATATGGGAGTTGCAGTTCACCCTTATCCAGAGAGCACTGAACCCAGCCAACGTCAGATCATGGACCAAACTTGGCACATAGACTCAACATGGCCAACTCTGCATACGGGTAGGGTTTGGGGGTGATTGTCCTTCGCATATGGGAGTTGCAGTTCACCCTTATCCAGAGAGCACTGAACCCAGCCAACGTCAGATCATGGACCAAACTTGGCACATAGACTCAACATGGCCAACTCTGCATACGGGTAGGGTTTGGGGGTGATTGCCCTTCGCATATGGGAGTTGCAGTTCACCCTTATCCTGAGAGCCCTGAACTCAGCCGACATCAGATCTGGACCAAACTTGGCATACAGACCCAACTTGGCCAACTGTGCATACAAGTAGGATTTGGGGGTGATTGCCCTTCGCATATGGGAGTTGTAGTTCACCTTTATACAAAGGGCACTGAACCCAGCCGACGTCAGATATGGACCCAATTTAGAATTGTCATTTGGGAACACAACTCCACTGAATGTGAGACTGTACCATAAATGGTGTCAGCATCTTCAGACCCAAGCAAAATGAGATCCCTCCCTCCCTCCCCTCTTCTGCGTATCTCAGACTCACAGTGAATGTTGATTTGGAAACTCTCCGACTTGAAAGTCTTATTGGTCCCCGCCAGATTGTAATCCACTTGGCAGTGGAAGAGAGCGCTGCGGTCTTCTTTGGTCACTTGGGCCAAAAGGGTGCTCTGGACGGTGACCAACCCGTTGCTCTCCTTGATCAGCGCAATGCGGATATCAATGTCTACAAGGCAGAGGGAGAGGAAGCATCACTTTAACACAACCAATTCTGCAAAGGAGCAATGCTGTGAGATCTTATGAAAGCCAAAAAGATTCAATTATAAGACTATTTTAAAAATATATTATTGAAATGATTTATATATGATGACCGCAGTAAGGACAGTCTATGCTTATTATTGGAAACGAGAAGGAATTCCCATTCAAGACTTGAGGTAAAGGTTCCACCTTGTCT